TCGGAGGCGGGGACACGGGCAGGGATGATGGTGGTTTCTCGAGCATGCTCGAGAGGTCAGACATCATACAAACAGGGGTCCGCCTTTACCCCTCGTATAAAAACGCGTAAGGCGGCCGGTGCCGGGATGTATTCAGCATGGAAACATCCTGGTGAGACATGGCATGGTCTGAACGGGGAAAGGCACGTACTCCTGAGGATTCGAGCCTGCGTACGCTGGGTGGTGTGAGGCAAGTCGCATCAACCCTTAAGGCAAGCGCGGGGTCTGAGCCATCTATTCTGCTGGGGGGCTTTACCCTCAAGGGAAAAGTAAAAAGGGCTATGCCCACAAGGAGGAGGAGCCCCGCAGGAGGGGCTCCATATTTTCCTGGGGGATCCGCGGGAGTGGCGGCCTTGACTCAACACAGACGTCTGCCTAGTGGAAGATCGTTTACTCCACTATAAATAACCGGTAAACGACACGCGAAAGAAAGAGGGAAATCTGGGAAAGAAACTCAGATATCCCTCTGACGGGATGGGAACCCTAGCAGAGGGAGAATCAAAGGGGGCCTTCGAGTCTATCTCGTCGTATGGCTCTCAAAGGACGCCGGTCCATGTACCATCCCCACCTCCACGCGGTGAAAGCTGAAAACGTCGAGGTACCCTCTCGGCGGCTAACGGGGCAATGGTTTCGGGCAGAGTGTGTGTACCGACACACATCTCTGGGCATCGGCGGGGTTTTTCGGCTCCTCTCACGAGTGCCACGGTCACGCTCGAACGCCGGGTGAACGCCCAGGCTTGTAGGGCGGGGACAATTGTCCTTAAGCCGTGGCCAGAGGAGCTGGGGACTCTAAAGGTGCTTCGCGGCGCACTAGGCGCGAATCCGAGGGAGCTTTTCCCTTTGGATTAGCCGTCCATAGGAGAAGGGACCCATAGCTTGGCTCAAGTCCCAAATCTTATGGAGACACGGCACGGGTGCCTCACTTGTGGGGCACTCACGGGGGGCGGTGGCTTGGGGGGAGACGGCTTAGCTCCGGCGAGCCTTCTGGGAACGACCGTCTCCCCGGTAGTAGATTACATCCCCAAGATGGGGGATGCTCGGGTAGGTGCAGTCCCCACTGTGGGACTTGGGCGGCGGTGATGTACCGGTGGGCTTGGCCGTGTCGGGATGATCCGCCGCTCTTGTCCCATGGATCGCCTGGGGTTTGCCCGCGTGACCATCTTTTCACTCACCCAAGGGATGTGGGAGGAGATGGTCGTAAGGATTGTACTTGATCCTCCAGAACTTCGCAAGTACATTTACCTCGAGCCATTTACTTCGAGACACGGATGCCCACCGGGGCGCGGTGATGTCAAGTGACGGGACATGATCCCAGAGGCTGACATTGCCAGCAACAGGGGTCCGCCTTCCCCCTCGTATAAAAACGCGGAGGCGGGGACACGGGCAGGGATGATGATGGTTACTCGAAATTACTCGAGTGATCAGACATCATACAAACAGGGGTCTACCTTCCCTCTCGTATAAAAACGCGGAGGTAGCCGGGACGGAGGTGTTTCTGTTTCGTAAACACTTCCGGGGCTGCGATCAGCCGACAGCGCGAGGGTCCGCCTCCCCCTGAAAAATCGGAGAGCGGCTAGGGAACAGATCGCGTGCCTCTGCCGTGAGGATCGGGTAGGAGTCCCTGGTGCTTCACAACAGGGAAAAGGGTTGTGTTTCACCCTTCGGAAATTCGGAAACACTTTAGCACTTCGAGTCACGGATGCCCAGCGGGGCGCGGTGATGTCAGGCGAAGGGACAATGTCCTGGAGCCTGACATTGCCAGCAACAGGGGTCCACCTTCCCCCTCGTATAAAAACTCGGAGGTGGGGACACGGGCAGGGATGATGATGGTTGCTCGACTAACATCGAGTGATCAGACATCATACGCACAGGGGTATGCCTTCCCCCTCGTATAAAAACGCGGAGGTACACGGGCCGGGGGTGTTATCGACATGGAAACATCCTCGGGGCTACTCGTAGTCGACAGCACGGGGGTCCGCCTCCCCCTGAAAAACCGGAGAGCGGCTAGGGAACGTAGATCGCGCGCCTCCACCGGAAGGTTCGGGTAGATTCCCTTGGTGCTAAGGCAACAGGGGTAAGAGGGGCTATGCTTCACCCTTCGGAAAAAACGGAAGCACCCGGGGTACATCGAGTCACGGATGCCCAACGGGGCGCGGAAATGTCAGGCAAAGGGACAAAGTCCTGGAGCCTGACATCGCCAGCAACAGGGGTCCGCCTTCCCCCTCGTATAAAAACTCGGAGGCGGGGACACGGGCAGGAATGATGGTGGCTTCTCGAGCATGCTCGAGAGGTCAGACATCATACAAACAGGGGTCCGTCTTTACCCCTCGTATAAAAACGCGTAAGGCGGCCGGTGCCGGGATGTATTCAGCATGGAAACATCCTGGTGAGACATGGCATGGTCTGAACGGGAAAAGGCACGTACTCCTGAGGATTCGAGCCTGCGTACGCTGGGTGGTGTGAGGTACGCATCAACCCTTAGGGCAAGCGCGGGGTCTGAGCCCTCTATTCTGCTGGGGGGCTTCACCCTTAAGGGAAAGGTAAAAAGGACTATGCCCACAATTAGGAGGAGCCCCGCAGGAGGGGCTTCATATTTTCCTGGGGGATCCGCGGGAGTGGCGGCCTTGACTCAACACAGACGTCTGCCTAGTGGAAGATTGTTTACTTCATTATAAATAACCGGTAAACGACACGCGAGGGAAAGAGAGAAATCTGGGAAAGAAACTCAGATATCCCTCTGACGGGATGGGAACCCTAGCAGAGGGAGAACCAAAGGGGGGCCTTCGAGTCTATCTCATCGTATCCCTCTCGTTGTCCGCCACCTTGTCGTGGTGAGAGGGCTCACCCTTCGCAAGAGGATACTCTTGCGAGGGGTGCCAAGAGCGGACCGTACCTTTCGAGGTACACTGCCCCCGGTTTCGGGGGCACGCCCTCCGTCTTTGGGGGCTCTCTTCGGGCGGCGGAAGAATTCTGCCCCCGGGGAGACGGGGCCCACTTCCCCGTTAGAGCTTCGGCTCGTATGTGGTAAGGGATGGCGACCCGGAATTCAAACGCCCGGTGGCATGGCACCGTCAGGAGAAGGGACTGCACGGCGCTTCGGCGCTTCCCTTCCCACCATGCTCTGTGGCCTGACAAGCCTGTCAGGTAGACGGCTTCTGCCGTCGAGGGTCTGCTTTCCTTTCGTCCTGGGGGGTGCGTTCTGGGGTTTCCTGGGAGTTCTTCCTGGGTCGGGGGTGGGTTTTTCTTTGGCGGTGGGGGCCGTCGGGGGAGGGAGGTATATGTGCCGCGCATGATTACCCGAGGGGCATCGCCCGGAGGGGGTCACGCCGGCGGAGGAACCGACACAGTCACTTGAGGGGCTTTGCCCGGAGGGTTGTCCCAAGGGGCTTTGCCCGGAGGGGGCTGTGTCGGTTGGTCTCCGGGGCCGCTCGGACATATTCCGGGGCGGGGCCCGGAGACAAGGATGATCCAGAGTGCTGGTCGGGAGTCCCCAGGCTGGGTAGCCTGGGTCTCCGTCCCAGCGTCTCTGGATGGTTCCCGCACCCGAGCCACTCGGACATACTCCGAGCTCGGGTCGGGTGCGGAGCTACGCGCAACTACCCAAGGGGCATTGCCCGGAGGCGTTGCGCGGGCCTGCCGCCGAGGCCGCTCGGACTTATTCCGGGGCGGGGCTCGGCAACGAGATTAGATACTCCCGGCCGGTCGGTACCGTTTCCCGTTCCGAACCGGCCGGCCGGGAGAGGTGATGTCTCCTCCACCGGATACTTCGGTGGGGGGACGTGCTGGTCGCCACGGCGGGCAAGGTGTGGACGGGGAGCGGTGTCCTCATCCCAACCGTCCGTGGGGCCCCCCGGGTGGCGCCGCTTGTTTCGGTGCCCCCTTTGTCGGAGGAGGGGGACCCCCGAAAACCTGCGGGGACGTCAAAATCCCCGTGGGCCAGTAAGGGGCTCGGAGCCCTGTGCCGGGGTGCGGCATTCCCCCCGGTCAGAGGCATAAAATGGCTCCCCGGGAGTCCCCGGGGCACCGGTCTGGGGGGCGGCTTCGGGCGCGGACGCCGGTCACGTTTCGGGTCGCGCTTCGGGTCGTTCCCCTGCCGGCGGGAGATACGCCGGCTGGTTGAGCCGGAACAAGGAGAGGGATTTTTCAGAATGAGCGATAAACTAACTGAAACCAAAATCGAGGCAAAGACGGAGGAGAGGGAGGCAGCACAATCCAATGTGCAAACGGCGAGCGACACATCTGCTCCTGCCAGAATTCTCGTGCAGCAAGTACTGCAAGACTGGTTGCCGGATGGAGAGCCCTGGACTCTCCCACCGACCAACCAAGAGGTGAATATTGAGCCAACATCGGCACAATTAATATATGGAGAAAGCTATTCCCACGACCCGGACAATTTCCGTAGGAGGACTAGCAGATCATCGGATCGATACGATCCAGAACGGGAAGCACGTTCGGATACCGAACCCATGGAGGGTCCTCAAACCCCTGTTGTCAATAGCAGCAAAGGCAATGAAAAATCAGTTGTTGTACCGGAACAAATAGTGATAGACATCTTCCCCCAACACTCTCTGTGTGGAGAGGACTCGAATATTTCTGGGATAAGTAACCCAATTATTGGAACCGGTGAAGATAATAACCCACCGCAAAGAGGAATGGACCTCGATATGGACAATGCCTCGGTGGCATCGTCATCAGCCCAAATATTGGGCAAAAGAAAGAAGGCGAGACGGGACAGTGATACAGATGACCCGTCTCCACAAATAAGGAGGAGAAGTTCACGAACGAGCAAGGCCCCGTGCCTGGGTTCAGATGAGGAATCATCCAACAAAAGGATCACCAGGAGTACGCACGCTGCCAATTGAAATGAAGTGTTAATTAACACGGACTCCGAGCCGTAGTCCCAATCGTGCTCGGAGGCGGAAGCTAATGCTAAGAAGCCTTCCAAGAAGCCTGCCAGAAGGATGAGAAGCATAGGCGAGCCGACTATCGAACAACGTCTCCGACCGCTCCCACTAAATGTGGAAGAGCTTTATTCAGCGCCGATTTCCGAAGTGAGAGCCTCTGCGATAGAATGGCTCAACGATATCGATACAATAAGGATCAACAGCAACTACCAGGGTGCCCTTAGTGGACAGATACGCAAACGAGTAAATGTGATCAAAGAGATCCTAAGAGTCCTTGGAGAAAAGATCGAGGATACTGGTGACCCGAGCTATCTGAGGAGAAGGAACTCTGAGCTTGCAGCAGAGCTGGCGGCATCTAAAAGAGAGACTGCCAAACTGAGAAGAGATGTTCAGGATCTACAAAAAATTGTAGGAGATCTCAAGAAGGCAATAGATGGAGGCCGTTTCGTCGAGAAGGCAGAGAAGGCAACCTCCCCGTTCGAAAATCCCCGCAAGGACGCTAAGTCCAAATCCAGGGAGAGAAGAGACACTCGCGGCAACGCAAACGCTTACATGGACACACAAAATGCAGATGTGGTCATGAGGCCTCCGATAAAAGGAGTCTCCAAACCGATACCTGCAGCGGAGACAAGTACACTAAGAGACTTACATGATGAGGACGCAGAGCTATCCAGACGCATCGCTGAACTCGCATCCCAAAGGAAACTACTGCGACAATCCTTCCAGAAACAGGGAAAAGAAAACCCTGCTACTGGCCCTGTCCCAGCTGAAACCCCACAGGATGCTGCTAAAAATAAACCTAGAGTGATAAGCAATACCCAAATCGTTGCTCCAAAAGAGACAAGGACCCAAAACCCACAAACGGTGGCCCAATTCAATGATCCAGCGGCAGGCCCCAGCCAGAGGAGCGATGCCTGGCAGAAGGTCGAGTCCAAAAAGGACAAGCGCCTAAGGAAAAAAGAGGCTAAACAAGCCGCTCTCAATAGCCAAAAGGCTAATAATGTGAAGCCGAATAACAACGGCAACAACGGCGAAGTCAAGAGGAGAAGACCACCCAGGACAGCAGCAGTCGCTATCAAGGGCGTAACGAACGACTTCTCATATGCGGCAGCCCTGAAAAAACTCAGGGAAGTAATATTGCTAAGCGATTTAAATATAGACAAGTCGTCTATAAGACATTCCGCCAGCGGCGGAATCGTCATTAAAGTCCCCGGCAAAGATAAAGCCGAAAAAGCTGAAGCCTTGAGAGAGAAAGTCTCCATCGTACTCGGAGAGTCGGCAACGGTTACAAGACCTGTCGTCAAAGGCGAAATGAGACTCATCGGACTCGATGACTCGGTTGTCCCGGACGAAGTGGCAGACGTCATCGCCACTGCAGGAGACTGTAAGGCCGAAGAAGTAAAGGTCGGCACAATAAGACCCATGACAAATGGGCTATTCACGGTGTGGGCCCAGTGTCCCTTAGCAGCCGCAATCAAAGCGACCCAGAAGGGCAAAATTAGAATAGGTTGGACCGTCGCCCGTATAGACCTTCTAAAAGCCAGGCCGACCCAATGCTATAAGTGTTGGGGTCATGGTCACTTAAGAAATAAGTGCACGGCTACGGTTGACAGGAGCCAAATCTGCTTCAGATGTGGTGGAGAGAATCATCCCGCCCTTAAATGCCAGAACCCAATTCGCTGCATTTTGTGTGTCGAGCAAGGAAAAGACCCCAACCATAGAGTGGGGTCTAATCAGTGTAAAGCGAACTTTAAGGCGCAACCCAATCCCATCACAGCAGAAGACCCGGACCGGAGGCCGGTTGCTATGGAGATAGGAAATGAAGTATCGAATTCTCCAATGTAATTTAGGTAGAGGCTGGCAAGCCCAGAACCTCCTTGAGCAGCACGTTGCAGAGTTTGGCATTGCCATCTGTGCTGTATCGGAACCGCGTATTGTCCCGGATAACATTTCGTGGTTCGGCAGTAGCAACAACTTAGCAGCCATATACTGGCGGCCTGTCGGTGCTATACGTACGTGTACGTTGATCTACAGAGCTCGGGATTTTGTAGTAGTCAAACACGGAGACATCAGCGTAATTTCGTGCTACATATCCCCAAACAGCTCCAAAGAGGAATTTCTTACCTTCCTCGACGAGCTAAGTGTAGCTATAAGAATACTGGGCGGTCGAACCCTCATTTGCGGTGACTTCAACGCGAAATCCTCACAGTGGGGCTCCCGAAACACCGACCGCAGAGGCGAACTCGTGGACGAATGGGCAGCGGAGCATGATCTGCGTTTGATTAATTCAGGCGCTCTCCCAACCTGCATAAGACCCCAAGGTTGGTCAATAATTGACTTGACGTGGTCAACCGCAGACATTTGCGGTTCTATCAGCGGCTGGCAGGTCATGAACAACACCGAATCCCTGTCCGACCACGAATATATCCAAATGTTTTTCGGACGAGATGATGGTTATCTAAATGTCAATGATCGAAGTAGTAATAGTCAAAAATATCCAAGATGGAATATCAAAAAGATGGATATCGATAAATTTCGGGCCGCAATACTCTGGAACTGCACAAACTCCGACGATCAGCCTACGGAGAAAACTGCAGAAGATCAGGCTAAATGGATCGAGCGCTCCATCCACCAAGCGTGTGATGTTGGCGCTAGCAGGATTAAGAAACCTCCTCCGAAAGAGCAAACATACTGGTGGAACACTGACATCGCAAGACTCAGAGAAGCCTCCATAGCGACGAGAAGAGCATGGTCCCATGCAAAGCAAAGAAGAAGACCCCTGGAGATTTTAACACCACTTCGGGATCGGTATAAGGTGGCTAGAAAAGCCCTTAAAAGCGAAATTAGTAAGGCAAAATACATAGCCTGGCAGGATCTCATTCAAACGATCGAGGACGATCCCTGGGGCCTGCCCTATAAGGTAGTCCTGAAGAAACTGCGCAGATCTTCTCCTAGCCTTACCGAAACACTCAATGAGGACACGGTAAACACTCTCCTGGAATCCTTGTTCCCGAGTGGAGTTGAAACGGACCCTAATGAGCTATGGCCTAACTGGCAATGGCCTGAAGAGACGGCAGAGGAATACAACATCACCGCCAAAGAAGTATTCACCACCATCAAACGAAAAGCCGGCAATAACACGGCCCCGGGACCGGACGGGATCAAAACAAGGATACTAGGTCTACTCCCAGGAGAGATGATAGCAGATATCGCAACCTGCTTAAACACGTGCCTCAAAGAGGGCACATTTCCCAAGAGATGGAAGCGCGCCATGCTCGTACTAATACCTAAAGGAGGCAACGGCCCTGACGAGACAATTCCGAAGGTACGTCCGATATGCCTTCTAGACGAGATTGGCAAAATCTTTGAAAAGATTATCGTGGATCGACTCAACGCCTGGATGAACAAAAACCCGGTCCACCAAGTTTCGGCAAACCAATATGGATTCCGAGAGAGGCGATCCACTTGTGACGCTCTAGCACAAGTCCAGTCGGCAATTGAGGAGGCTATCCAACAAGATGGAGTCGTGATCGCGATTAGCCTGGACATTTCTAATGCCTTTAATTCGCTCCCGTGGCCAGTCATTAGAGATGCTATTAAACGGAAATGTTTCCCGGAATACTTGAGAAGAATAATCGATAGCTACTTACACCAGCGCTCCATCGAGTTCTTAGACAATCAAGGTAACGTCATTACCAGACCAATGACGACTGGGGTACCCCAGGGTCGGTCCTCGGCCCCATTCTCTGGAACGTTGGGTACGACTGCGTCCTCCAAGAAGGCAATGAGTATGGGTGTCGAACCGTTTGTTACGCGGACGACACCCTTATTCTAGCAACAGCTGATAAGGTCTCCACTGCCATAGCAAGAGCCAACTACCAGACGGCATTGATCCTAAATAGAATCAAAAGATTAGGACTGTCAGTATCGGTTAATAAGACCGAAGCGGTACTGTTCCACGGCAGAAGAAAACCGGACCAGCTTCCATGTGTAACAATCGGCAGCGAGATCATTCCAACCAAGACGTCGATGAAATATCTTGGTGTGATATTGGACTCTAGAATGTCATTTAGAGACCACTTCGAATACGTGGAAGCTAAAGTCTCCAAAGTCTCGAAATCCTTGGGCAGACTCATGCCCAATCTGAGGGGACCCAGAGAAGCAAAAAGGAGGTTATACGCTAATGTCGTGCTATCGATTATTCTCTATGCCGCACCAATATGGTGCGATGCCTTAACAGCCGCAAGACGTAATCGGGAGAAACTCGACCGACTAATGAGGATCACCAACTTAAGGGTCATCTCTGCATACCGGATGGTCTCACTTGACGCAGCATCGCTTCTGGCGAGAATTCCGCCACTGCACCTTCTGGCGGCAATGCGGAAACGTGTATACGTAAGAACGTCTGAGTCAAGACTACTTAGCGACTGGACATCAAGTATGGCAAACGAGATCAGAGAGTCAGAGGCGTTAGTTATGCGCAGGCAGGGAAATATATACACAAAGGCCAATGGTCGCCGGTATTCGTACTAGAGACGCAATTTTGCCCAACATACGGGCCTGGTTGGACCGCCGACATGGAAGCATGGCCTTCCACTTGACCCAAATACTAACGGGTCACGGCTGTTTTGCCTCATACTTATATCGTATAGGCAAAATGGGATCTCCAGTATGCGAGCACTGCTCTGGAAACAGCATCGACAGTGCGGAACATACCTTACAGGACTGTGGTAAATGGAGCGCTGAAATAGAAGCCCTGAAAGCCGTCATTGGAGACGACCTAGGTATGGACAAAGTGGTGCAGGCCATCACCTCGGATGAAGACGCCTGGAGAGCCATGACTAAATTTCGGAGAACGGTCTGCTCCAAAAAAGAACCAGGAGAGAGAGAGACAGGCACGAGACGCCTTAATCCCACCCCCTCCCAGTTCAGACTCTAGCGAGGAGGAAATCGCCACTTCCTCATCATCAACGTCGTCCTTGGATGACCCATTACGTGAGGAGCGCATAAAAGGGACGACCTAATCCTTGGATTAGGTAGTAGCTCAAAAAGGAGGCAAATAGAGCCCTGGCGAGACGTTAGGATCGCCATGGAAGCTCTAACCAACCAAGGATGGCTTCAAATAGATGGTTGGTGTCCTTTCCACCCAATAATCTAACCCAAGCATACAAGGAAAGATGGTTGGGGTAGTTTTGGTACCATTACCATTACCAACTTCCATGAACAAAGGCATACACAATGTGCTTGCTTGTCCTGTACATATGTGTTATTATTATCTTAAGGAATGAGTCTGTGTATGTATTCGTGTGAGTGCATGAGGTGCGTCGCGCGAGTATATATGCAATAATGTGTGAGTGGAGATATATGTGTGTATGTGTATGCATGTGTGTGGTGTATTAGCATATATGTGTGTATGTGTACAGATGTGTAAAAGGGTATGAATGTGTGTACGTGTGTAAGCACGGTTAGACACAACCATGAGGGCTACCGTGAGGATGTTATCGCGAAAGCGAAGCTGGGTTGGACCCGGAAAGTAATGCCGACAGCAGTTCTTCCGGGCCAACATCGACCAGGAAGGAGGAATGCCTTCTGGTCAAGGGCATGGGGGTTAGTGGGTAGGGCCGGTCGCGACCTGTCCTCCCGCGTGGGGGATCGGAGGCTAGCTCCGACAACCACGCGGGATGCGGGGTTACGACCGGAGGAGTCACCACATAACCGCATGGAGATCGGCCCCATCGGTATCCGTAAGATGGATTCCCCTGCCCAGCG